CCAGGGGTGTTCAAACTTGACAGCTTTAAGACTTGTGGACTTCAACTCCCAGAATTCCTCCTCTCGCTCTTCATCTTGATGATGTCCGGATGGGCGGGGGAAGGAGTTGGAACCGGTTCTAAACAGCACGGTAGATTTGTGGAACCTCTTCTACAGAAGAGGTAGAATGAGTGTCCCCACTCACTTTTGGTTTTATTTAACGCTTCCTTCTGGCCCAGTCCACCCTACCAGCTGCACTTGATGTGATGTAATCATCATCATCATGGCTCCTCCCACAATGACATCTAGGGCCCATCCATTGTTCCACCCCTTTCCCTCCCAACTATCCACCCGGCTTGGTCCCTTTGCCCATCTTACTGCCAAATCTTTTCACCAGAGAGTCCCACCTTAAAATCCGAAACACATTCCGCCCAATGGGGTTCATGTGTTCGATTGCACTCAAATCACATGGAGCTGTCAAATTATCACCAGTGTACAGAGTCGATATATCAGGATTCACAGCCAGGGACAGATTCCCACCCATAATAATAGCTTTTTCCTCTGGGAGTCTAACGACGTCGAGGTTCGCAAATAGAACCGTGTCTCCGAAATGAATATATCCATCTTTTGAAATGGAAAGTTGCTCCTGTTGGCGAGAAGAGGAAGGAAGACAGTAACTGTGCACAGTTCTCCTTTATCTTTCCCACAATAGCAATAGCACTTAAACTTATACACCGCTTTACAGCCCTCTCTAAGGGGTTTACAGAGTCAGCCTATTTGCCCTCAACAATCCTCATTCTACCCACCTTGGAAGGATGGGAAGCTGAGTCAACCTTGAGCCTGGTGAGATTCGAACTGCCAAATTTCAGGCAGCAGAAGGAGCCTGCAGTACTGCACTCTAACCACTGCGCCGCAGTTGTTAAGTGAATCTGGCTTCCCTACGGCCAGAGTAAATGAGTAGGGAACAAAATCCAAGTATTCTAGAGAATTAGGGGAACCCTCAAACGTGTTTTGGGATGTAATACCTTCTTGTAAAGAGTATCTTTCAGTCTTCGCGATTTCTGGATTATTAGTTCTCCATTTTCTCTTTTATATAGAAAATCTTTCAACGATTCCTATTTTTAAAAGGGGAAAAAAAAAGAATTTCTTATGCCTCCTGTATATAACTGCAGTGTGATCAGGGGCATCAAATCACCCACCTTAGGAAATTCGATCCAAATGGCTAAATCCCATCTAAAGAATGAAAACAAGGACATTAAAAAAAAAACTATGAAAAGGTTTTCCCACATCTAGGAGGACAGAGCAAATGGGTGGAGACAATAATATCTTGTAAACGTGTCCAGTGAAGTTGTTTGAGGAATACAGTTGCTGTAAATTCTTGCATAAAATAATTTGCTGAACCAATGCAACAGAGTAGAAGGTTATCCAACAGATTCTGCCTCTTTCTAGAGGTTGCCAGTGGCTCATAGAAATATTTTTTTAAAAGGAGAGAACATGCATTTAGCATCAGCATCTTTTAACAACCCCATAATCCCTTGCAGGGTGGAATCTGGGCAACTGAATGGAGCTTGGCAGAGTGTTTTAGTGGACGGATGCTCTTCCTGTCACCAATGCGGAGTTTTGTCCGGCAGATCTATTCTCAGTGTACCCAGAGAGAGAGAAATATCTGCCTCTACCTGGGATCGAACTCTCAGCCTCCTGATTGTGAGGGGAATGCACATTTAGCATGCAGCGTTAAAGTCTGGAATACACCAAGTAACTCCCCAAATAATGCAGCAGAATGAGATGGAATTTGGGTTTAAACTTTAAAGAAATAACCCAAGCATCAGGCTGTAAATACAGCAAGTCACCAACTCCAAGAGTCGATCTGAACGTCAGGAAAACCTAGAGCTGCTGCTATCAAACCTCCCTATTATAATTAAAATTCCTCTCTAAGTTGCTTTTGAGATTTGCACAAAGGGCCAAACTTGAACGGAACCCTGCAAAGGCTGGATAATTTTTATTTACCTCTTCTAAGCACACATCTTCAAACCAGTTACCGAGAAGCACGCCAGGACTGTACATCCGGCCACTCTTACTTGTCCGGGAGTTGATCATCTGGAGCAGCTCAGGGCACCAAGGTGGCTTAAAGAAAAGGATACTTCGGACAAAGGTTGCTGGAATCAGCAAAATAACCGATCGATGTTGAGTTTACAGGTTGCTATGGGGACTGCGAGTGGCCAGGATTGGTCGATCAGGAAAAGGATATCAGCCAATCAGAACAGATCTGGATAGAATGGGTGGGAAAAGATGTGAGAACTTATCTGCATCTTTTCAATTCCACCAGGGGAAACAAGACACAATTCTCTTGTAAAGCAAAGAGAGAGAGAAAGATTGCGAAAGTACACGCTTCTTTTGAAAGATAAACACACATAGGAATATTCCGGATTAAAAATAGTGAACCATTCTTCCCCACAGCTTTAGAGTGAATGTTTTTTTGATGAAGGCAATGTTTTTTTTTTTTAATGCTAAATAAATAAGGCAACATACACAAGAATAAAAGCAAGGAAATGAAAGGGATAATTAAAGCTGGGGAAGAAAGGGATAAAACAAGTGCTTGTATCTCAAATTGTTTGTGTATCTCCTTCCCTTGGATAGTATTTAAGGCAGTGTTTCTCAACCTTGGCGACTTTAAGTCCTGTGGACTTCAACTCCCAGAATCCCCCAGCCAGCACAGCTGTGCTGGCTGGGGGATTCNTCCAAACCTTCCCGATAGTACAGCCAAAGAGATCTACCACTTCACCTTAGAAAAGATCCAACCTCGTGTAATTTCATTTGAGGAACAGGTAAGGACAAGACCTCATGGATAACACCCCCATCCCAGATCAGTGGTGGGATTCAGCCAGTTCGCACCACTTCGGGAGAACCTGTTGTTAACTTTCTCAGCAGTTTGGTGAACTGGTTGTTGGAAGAAATTATTAGGGCAGAAAACCAGTTGTTAAATTATTTGAATCCCACCACTGCCCCAGATCCATACTTTTCCAACAGGAGGGAGCAATTGGTAACTTATAGCACACCTTTAAAATGTGCTTCAGATAATTGTTGGATCATCAACAGATTTTGAAGTGGTTGTCACAAGGAGGGATGTGCTATGGGGAGAGAGAACTGTAAGTAGGAGAGGAATTAAAAGGCACTTTGCCCCCCCCCCCCCACAGTAGCATTTGGGTTTCTATTATATTCAACTATTATTTAGGATAAGTGTTTGCATTGGAAACATTTCACTGCTCACTTGATTAACCACTTATTTTGATTTGCTTCAGCTTTGGAACCAGACTATAACTAGAGATACATAGTTCTCTCAACATGCTTATGCTGCTAAGCAGTTTTGTGTTTTGATTTTTTTTCCCCTTTTAAATTGTTCATACTTTGGTTTGATGCAAGAGGAGACCTCTAAAAGTGTTTTTAAAAGAATTGGAGGAAGAAAATAAGTATTGAATGACTTGCTTCCTATGTAATGATAAAATGTATGTTGTTTTCTTTCTGTGTCATTATGCTTGTTATTGGGTTCTTTGATTGCAATACATTTTCATTCATTCAAAAAAAATGGGGGAACCCTAGCAAAACTGTCTTGGGATTCACCTTGTTGATGGATTTCATTTTGTAGATCAGCATTGTGTAACTCCTTGTGTTATTTATCTCATTACGTAGATATTTTATGGTTACCAAGGCCATCCATCCTGAAATACATTGAATCCTAGCTAACAGGTTCATTTTTCAGAGATTGGGAGAAAATGCCTGTTCTGCAAATATTTCCTCAATATATCTGTTATGTCAGTGAGGTTCCTGTCAAAATCTACTGGATGGGGAAAAATTGAAACAAGCACAACGGCCACTGGAAAATAAACATATTTCTGATAAGATAAATGGGTTGTAGTTTATCCTATGCCTTCACCTCCCTTCTTTCTCCCTCCAGGTTGCTTCTATAAGACAACATCTCGCATCCATTTATGAGAAAGAAGAAGATTGGCGGAATGCAGCACAAGTGCTGGTGGGGATTCCTCTCGAAACAGGACAAAAGTAAATAGAACAGTTATCCCTTTTTCTTTAACACAAAGTGAACTTCTAAAGTGATGGTGTCTTATTGCTGCTCTCTCACAATATGGTATAGAAACTTAATTGTTTTCAACAGTTGTCTTTGAATCAGAAATGTATCAGTAGTTTCAGCAAGCTTCTAAAAGTCTTATCTTTGTTGGGATCCTTGTGTCTTTTAAATGTCAAGTGTTTATGTCAAAATGCTTATCTCAGCCAATGGCCACCCGAGACTGATCTTTGGAGACTGACCTTTGGAGGGTGAAGTGAGTTTGATTTAATTACTGCAGTACTTATCTGTAAGATCATCTAGGGAGTATTTACACAATAAAAGAACTCAAAAATGTCTTCCAAAAGGCAAACTACACCTGTGTGCCTCCCTTAAAAAGTTAGCTAGGAGCTAACTTGAGGATATTTTTACTTTAGGTAATACTTAAAACTGAGCTATTTAGTAATAGGATAGTGCTGTATTCCTGATTATAAAAGGATGCAATTTGCCAGCTGCATTTTAATAGCCTGTTTCCTTCAGCTACTTTAATGAAGCTATGGATTTGTCCCTTGAAACTTCTAGTCTACATCTTGCTCCTTTTTTAAAACAACATTCTGAAGGCTTTGTGCTTTGTTTTGTTGTTGGTACACTTGGTTTTTGTTTAAGCTTTGTGGCCATTTAGTTGGTGGTTGAATGTGATTTAGATACAGCCAATAAACATTCAGTTCCATCCAGTCACCCAGACTCTGTCCCAAAAGAAAAGGGGGGGGGGATTACAGGATTGTAAAAAGGGAGTTAATGAGATTTAGATAGGGTGGATGAAAAACAATTTGAACAGAGACTGTATCAGAAATCAATTCTTGCAAAGTTGTCATTAGCATATGAAACCCAGTCTTTTTTTAAAACCTGAATAGATATTTCTCAGATTGGGGGGGAGGGGGAGGACAACAGGACCAGGGATCACCAGGGACTTTAAATGGCTCTGCTAGGCATCTTGCATCAATCTGGAAAGAAATTAGCAAACCGGAGTATAATTAGGCAAAAGTCTTCAATCAAAGAGAACAGTTTCTCTTCCCCCCAAGCTATTCATTTTTCTTGGAAGAGGTTTCCCCCTATTCAGTCATGGTAGAGTGTGAAATTGCCATCAATTGTTGAACACAACCATCCCCAATTTTTTATTCGTACAATTCTGCATGCTTTATTGTGAAATCTGGCAGGCTGTTCAAATCTACTTGCAAAAAAGTGTGATCCTGCTCAAATATGGGACTGAAACTCCATCTTTTTCCCTCACTATTCAAGGCAGTACAATGTGGATTACAAACTGGAAACTTATCTGAAAATTGCGCGACTTTATCTGGAGGATGATGATCCCGTTCAAGCTGAGGCTTATATAAATAGAGCATCCCTTCTTCAAAATGAATCGACCAATGAGCAGTTACAAATTCATTATAAGGTAAAATATTCATAATGGGTTTGGTTTTGTGTGTAATAGCAATAGCACTTAGACTTACATACCGCTTCATAGTGCTTTACAGCCCTCTCTAAGTGGTTTACAGAGTCAGCCAATTGCCCCTCAACAATCTGGGTCCTCACCCACCTTGGAAGGAGGGAAAGTCAACCTTGAGCCTGGCGAGATTTGAACTGCCAAATTGCAGGCAGCTGGCAGTCAGCAGAAGTAGCCTGCAGTACTTCACTCTAACCACTGCGCCACTGTTATGCTAGATTATAACAAAACTATTAATATTTATGACTCCTGCATGCAAAGGTATGACTTATTTGTATAATATGCTCTCAGGGTGGTCTATTGTAGGTATAAGAGCATGTGCTGTATCAACAAGATATTGAGAAATATCCTCTAGGTCTAAAATTGTCCAGTGATCCATATTCCTTCCCTCAGCAGTAATAATAATAATAATTGGTGGTAGAGCTGATAAAGACAAAGGTTCACAAAATGTCCTGCTGACAAATTTTATCTCCACAGTCTCTTTTTCTTTTATGCTGCTCTGAACGGATGACTTAAATGGCAGCTGCAGCATCCTCAGTGAGATATATTTCATAATATCCAAACTGAACAGGACAAATGAGTTTCAATTAATTGTGGTTGTTCAATATAACTTTTGTTTTAAAAATAGCACCGACGGATTTGATTGCCATTGAAATGCTATTCTGCAACATTAGAAATTTTGGCAGCCCAAACGATTTTTGGTGATACGTTTTTCCTTGTTCCAGGTATGCTACGCTCGTGTTCTTGACTACAGAAGGAAATTTATTGAAGCTGCCCAAAGATATAACGAGCTTTCTTATAAAAGCATAGTCCACGAAAGTGAGCGGCTCGAAGCCCTGAAGCACGCCTTGCATTGTACGATCTTAGCCTCAGCAGGTAAAATGATAGGTGAAGTTTTAACGTATTTTTCGGGGTATAAGATGCTCCGAAGTATAAGACGCTCCTTATACAATGGGGGGGGGGATCTGCCTCTGCCTCCCAGCAATTTGCCTCCTTGCAGCAAGCAGTACAGACGATATGCACTGTTTGTTGTGTTGCATTTCAGACTATACTTGTACAGATGCTGTTAAAATTGATGTGGCTTTCTGGAAGTATACATTGTTCTTTGCTATTTAAAAGAAGATACCATAGCACTGGGCCTCTTCAGATCAAGCATTTATTTT